ACACACACACATACATACATACATACTATATACATACTATACACTAATAAATAATATATATATATATATATATATATATACGCACACACTCACCTAGCATTGGGTTCTGCCCGTGGCTCGAACTCACGGGCCATATTGAGGTGGTCGCCTATCTTCACCTTGAGCAGCGCTGTGATACGCTGAGAGAAGATCATGACCTCCATGTTAAACTCACTCTTCGGTTCGGCCTCAATGATCTGGTTGTACTGTACAATATAGCTCACTGCACTCTGCAGCACCTCCACGCCAGCCCACCCGCTATATGGCTTCTCCGCCATGCTCATTCCTATACTGATAATCCGCCTGGCGCAGTTGAGTGACTTGGATACCGCCCCTTTGTCGGGGTCTAGGCTGCGCTTTCTCCGTTCGTCCTGCACCACTTTGCGGCGTATGTTTAAACTCTCAGCCATTAATCGGATGCGACTGCCTAGTGGCAGGTGTGGGTCGTCGGCTCGTTGGGCCATGGCACAGTATCTGCGGACCAAACAGTAGCGACGGACACGGCGTGTGTGTGCGCGGGGGGGACATTTGACAGGAGTTAGAGAGAGAGAGGGAGGGAGAAAGAGTTTTAGGGTTTAGGGTTTATGGATAGCCAGCCATAGACACGCGTAGAGTTTGCGCGTTAACGCGAACTGTGTTTGTGTATCGAGTCCCCTGTATAAGTCTAAGTTGTAGATAGCAAGACATGGTAAAACCCTAAACCCTAAGACTCAGCAGGTGCAGGGACCAGTCCAATAGACCCGCACCAGCGCAAAGTGCACAAACATAAAGAATTTAACGCGCCATTTGGGATAAGTACTTATTGCTGGTGGAATGAGGGGTATATGCTTGCACACACACAATATCACACATACATGCTCATAGACAATAGACTAGAGACACTCACCCGGCATGCGCATTAAAGTTGTTCATATCGATATTTTGATAAAATATACGGCTAATCACCAAACCATGCTTCCAAATAGGTCTAAACAGAGTGTAGATGGGGTTCCAGTTGAAACACACACATATATATATACATACATTGTA